AGAGTTACTGACGCAGAAGCCGAAAGCTGATGGGCGTGAATTCAGCAAACCAAACGCAGGTTCTCTCTCAGAGAGGAGGAGGAGACAGCGAGCGCTGACACACACCTTTCTTGGAGCGTCTAGGTTTCGGCGGTGCAGCGGGACGGCGTGGAAGCTGTGCATGTAAGCGGGCGTCTTTATGAAATTAAGTAGCAGACAAGAATGAATGAGAAGCCAAAAGAAAAGCAAAAACCTCACAAAACAAGAAGAAGAATAAGCATTAGCATCAGCAATGAGGAGCCACAGTGAGAAAGAAAGAAAGCTAAACCGTCACTGCAGCAAAGCATTCTGGGAAACAAGATTCACATTGTTGCTCTTTGAGCTGCTCACGGTGACCACGAAAAACACACATTACAACAACAGGGCTTTGGCACTTGTGTAAAAACAGCAAAGCTTTGTGATCTGAAATGAAATTGTGCAGACTGTCAAACACAAACCTATGGAAGCTTGTTTCTGCCACCGCTTAAAAAAATTCAAGTAATTCTAACTTTTTATCTCACAATTCAGACTTTTTTCTCTCATTATGCAAATTCGCGAGATATAAACTCGTAATAGCAATAAAAAAAAAAGTCAGAACTTTGACAGAAAAACTTCGAATTGTGAGATATAAACAGAATTGTGGAATATAAATTAGCAATTTGCAAGAAAATGTTAGAATTTTGAGATAAAAAGTCAGAATTGCCCGACATAAACTTTGTGAGATAAAATTGTGATAAAATTATGAAAAATTAAACATTAAAAATTAAAAGATGTAAACACAGAATTCAGAGAAAAAGGTCAGAACTGCAAGACGTAAAACCCAAAATTGTGAGAAAGAAAGTCAGAGATGAAAAGTTGCAATTGCCTTTTTAATTTTTTGTTCTTTTATTCTGTGGCGGAAACAGACTTCCACATAAACCAGATTAAACCAAGAACAGATTCACGAAATGCAGTGCGGAATTCAGGTGCATTGACTTTGTAAAAATGTGCTTTTCTCAGTCAGCCACGATTCAGAAATTTTAAGAGTAAAAAAATCTCCAATAATGAAAATTGATTAGTATTTGGTTGGTCATGTGATATTGATTTTTTGTACATTATTTTGTGCTATTCATTTCTTCACATGCAACACTTTTTAAGGCAAGACACTACCGGTGAATAGGGTAAAAATGCTTAACTAATAAATATCACTATACTTCCACAGTTAATTAATCACAGCGCATTAAGACAATTGTTTTGTGTTACAAGTTTTCTGAAATGTTGAAATATGCAAATGAACGACATATTATCTAATTAAATATGCACTCATTTACATACATTTCCAGAACAAAAATCTGAACACTGGATGAAGTCAGGTTCAAAATCTTTTTTTCATTTTGTTCACATTTTAAAGGTTTTTACAGAGGAGATTTTGTATTTCTATTTTTATTACTCCATAAATCAGAAAATACTGATTTACATTTACATTACATTTACGAATACATTTTCACCATGTTTTTAGGTATACAATGTTATATGAATCAGGTGAATAATATATATAAAATTCTCAGTACAAATTTCACAATATAGATAGTAGAGATGCACCGATTGCAATTTTCTTGGCCGATTCCGATTTCCGATTTTTTGTTAGTGCGATCTGCCGATACCGATTTTTGCCGATTTTCTTTCTAAGAACTATAATTGACAGCATATACAAACAAAAATCTACTTTTCTTCAACGCAAAGTTTTATTTTCATAAAAAAACACAAGTAAAAAGTCAGTAATAAAATAAGAACAAATAAAAAAAATGGCAAACAACGGCATAAATAAATGCAATAGAATAAAGAGAGCTTTGAAACTAAGTTTTTCAGGTTAAGTTTTTATTCAGTTAAGAAATACTACAGAAATTAAAGTAATCAAATGTAAAATAACACATTCAGTGTTATTTTACATTTGGTTTTTAATTTCTGTAGTCTTCATTGTAAAAATTAAATACAGATTAATGCTTACCATTAAAGTTATAAAACGTATTCAGTCAAGAGCAGAAAGTGGTTTTCTTTGTCTTTTGTTCTTTGATTAACATGACAGACAGCAGCATAAATATTGGACTGCAGTCCCTTTAAGAGTTTATCCACGGACCCAATATACTGTTACACAACATGCGTTCTCTTTCTCAACTATTTAACGTTCCAAAACTGACTGTGTTTAACTGGATACTTGCCAAGACGGGCATTTTGACATAATTTTGTATTTGAACGTTTTAGCGCAGTTAACCACTCATTTTGTTATTTGTGGCTCACAAGCTGTTTGAGACTGAGACTTGTGCGCTCCACTAATATAGATCAGTGATGGTGCGCGCGCATTTGGTATAAGCGCAAAACCTGCGGGAATGACTAAAATAATGCGCAATACAAGCACTATTTAACCGGAGCGAATGAGACGTGTGTGAGAGAGAAGGGGTCGTCGGAGAGAAGAGAGCGAGAATGCGCGGCTGA